GTTAATCTTGCAACCAGTTTTGAACCCAGCACCATCTATTCCAAAACAGTCTGCAACACATGCAGTATTCCATTTTTAAGACTGCCAACTGCAGACTGGGGTCTTCTCTATTATGCCTTGAAACATCTTTTTTTCTTCTGCCAGACTTCCTTTTTTGGCTTTTGTACTGAGCATCCAACTTGGTAAAGAGTTCTGGAGAACTTAGCACCTCACTGTTTGCAAAATCTTTGTCAATCGTAATAAAAATGTAGTATGCTGCTAGGGAGCTGAACTGTAATAAGGCTAATAAAGCTGCAGTCTGGCTGAGCACTCTGATGTGCTGGCTACATGTGCCAGTATTGTTCCTCCTTGTGCCATGCCACCTGTGTATATATGGAGCTTGTTGACATAAACAAAAAAGTGTAGGCCTGATGTTCAGTGGCGGGGAAGACGACTGTGCGACTGAACAACAAATGCTGCTAGGGAGCTGAACTAATAAAGCTGCAGTCTGGCTAAGCACTCTGATGTGCTGACTACATATGCCAGTATTGTTCCTCCTTGTGCCATGCCACCTGTGTATATATGGAGCTTGTTGACATAAACAAAAAAGTGTAGGCCTGATGTTCAGTGGCGGGGAAGAGAGCAAGAAATGCATGCGAGGCAAGGTGAACAAGGAATGAACATAGGCAAACATTCCTTTATTTATGTACTTTATAGCCACCTTTCTCACTGAGACTCAAGGTGGATTATAGAATGAAAAACAACACAATTACACATCCACTGAATAAGGCATCCATTGAGAAAGGCAAAGTATGAGTAGACAACATGAACGACACGTGCACATGAAAGCTTATACCCGGAATAAATCTTTGATGGTCTTAAAGGTAGCCCTGGACTCAAACTTTGTTCTGCTGGTTCAGACCAACCCTACAGAGCTACCCACCTGAATATACCTAAAAATAGTCATTGCAGTGAACCACAATCCTTCCCCGTTATAAAGGACCCTCCTGGACCAGTTCCATTCTGCGTTAGTTTTAATCCCTTTATATATGTGCTAGTATTTAAACTTTATTGTACTCTGATACAAGATATATTTATGTCAGAACCATGGGAAGTTGGAGGGGATTTCTAGCCAGTTCTGTCTTGCTGTTTGAGAATGTAGAATCTATCAGAGGTTGTCTAAACTAGTTGTAATGTTCTCTCCTTTGAAATGTAGCTACATTTAATCAGTGGCTGAAGGTATTTGCAAAGGGAATCTGTACTATCACTGAAAGTGCTGTACTATGTTTGATGCAATGTTTTGTGTTTTTAAAAAATACAGCTTGGTTATCATCATACATTGTGGTCGAGTTCAGACGGGCAGTTTGCCCCGATATAGGCGCGTGTGAGGAACGTTTCACAACCGGATTAAAAAGGCCGTTCACACAGGCACATCTGTTTGGCTTTCCCCACCCATACTCAACCAGTTTTGTAACGCTTCACTCCCAAGTTTAAAAGATACCTGGTGAAAGTGGTAGCAAACCCTGGAAAGCGCGATGGTCCATCCCGCACCAACAAAGTGTGAATGCCAAAAGCCGCATTTTTAAAATGCGCTCATACACATAAGCGCATATCTCCAGATTACAAAAAAAGAAAGCCGTGCCTTACAGCCGTGCCTCCGGGCCAACAGTGTGAATGCTCCCTTGTGCCTCCTCCCTGTATGCTCCCACATCAGTCGCTGTAGTGTGAACGGGAAAACCTGGAACAATTTGCACATCAATTTGTTCCGGGTCTTTTTTGCCACGACTCCCTCCTGCTTCAAACTGCCCGTCTGAAGAAGAAGAAGATATTGGATTTATACCCCGCCCTTCACTACCCAAAGGTGTCTCAGAGCAGCTTACAAACTCCTTTCCCTTCCCCTCCCCACAACAGACACCCTGTGAGGTGGGTGGGGCTGAGAAAGTTCTTGAGAGAAACTGCTCTTTTTCAAGGACAGCTGTGCCACAGCTTGTGACTGACCCAAGGTCACATCAGCAGGTGCAAGTGGAGGAGTGGGGAATCAAACCCGGTTCTCCCAGATTAGAGTCCGCGCACTTAACCACTACACCAAACTTGCTCTCACTGGAACTCAACCTGTGTCTTCTCATAGCAGATAGGATCATAGCATCAGTCTAACTGCACTTCACTGGGACCCTAAATCGATTACTGGGGGCAAGTGTTTTGCAAAAACAACTGTAACGTGAACCCTTTATCTTGCCAGCATGGAACAAGCCAGCAGTCACTTTTGAGTTCACAGTAGTTTGTTTGTGTGGTTAAAAAGTAGGAACACTTCATAATGTTCCTTATAGTAGAAAGAAAAATGGAATGTACATTGAAAATACAGTTGGAAGGAATGAAGTTCAGGTTGTGACTTCCTGGCCAAGGCTGAGGGCTTAGGTTTTTAGAGGATAAGAGGCTGTGGCTATAATTTGGTCTGAATTTTCTCACCTTCCACTGCCTACTGTTATTTGTGTACACTCTTACTCAAAGTGGAAACATAGACCTTTTCATTCTAGTTTTTTAAGTAGTTTAGGGTGTGTGCTGCACACAGCATGGCCTGTCCTTGAGCATCACCAGTAACAACTTCTCAATGAGTAATTCTTTAGTCAGTGGGCCCAGTTAGCAGTGCTAACCACTCAAAGGGATGAGTTTGGTCATGGAGCATGAAGCTTGTTATAGTAGGGTTTGGTCCTTATTAACTGTAAAGTAAAAAGTCTATGCAAAGTGCATAGACGTAAAGTAAAAAGTCTATGCAAAGTGCATGAGAGTAGGCAGTAAGGAGTACTTTGTCCAATGTACAACCTGTTTGTTTAGGAAATAGTATGTGTTCCCAGTGCCACATTTGTTTTGTCATGCATGACAAAGACCGTGAGGGTCACCCTTTAAGAACCCTCTTTTGGTCTTTGCTCCTCCATGCCTGTGTGCCTCCATGCACAAGTGTCAGGATGAGCACATGCCTCCCCATCTGTGGGGCTGCCTGCAAACCCCACCCCCTCTGCCCTCCTTGGTTGAGGGGTGGGATGGAGTGGCATTCTCATGCAGGGCTGGAATTATCATGGAGGAAACTGGGTCTTGGTAGGAGACAGAGAACGTTGCAGGTACAGGAAGCCTTTCTCTATAAATGACCCCATAGCTCAGCTTTCTTTGCTTCAGTAAAGTGTGGGTTTGGGGAAACTGCTTGGGCTGGCTAAGGTGGAGGTCAGTTGAGACTGACTAGTACTTTAGACATGTTTTTGTTAAGGCATGTAGAAAATTAACTTTGGCATACTGATTTTCTGTGTGTGTTGTTTTGTGAAGGAAACATTCAATCATGTATGCTGCCATCTGTAACCTGTAAAAGAACAGATGGAATGCAGGCTCAGTGCCTCAGTGTGAACTAGGCCTTTTCTACTCTGGCAATAGCTTGTGCTATGTATTTCTGTGGCTCAGTTTACCATAAGAATTTCTTCCAGAGTGTTATGTATTGGGACTGAAACATTCCAGGACTGTTCTACCAGAGACTGGCTGAGCTTGGGCCAAGAACAATAGCCCACCAGGACCCTGGAAGTAACTAATCAAGAAGTATTGTTATGTAAATAGCCTATTGTTGGGAGTGGGGTGTGTTTGGATGTGGCAATTGCATGCTATTTAAACAGCACGGTGACCCTGGAATCCTGTCTTGCTCTTGCTGAAATCACAAATAAAGTTGAGCTGATCACTAGACTTGGGGTCTATTCATCTATGGAACCCATTATTTAACAGGAGTATCACCAGGCAACAGACAGAACACTCATTTGTTTCAAAGAAGAAAAGTCTTACTCCAGTTGAACTACTGCTGTTATTAGTTTTTCTTTTACTACCAATATTCCTTTAAAAATGGATTTTAACAGTTGGTTTTAACTTTCATCCTGCCAACCTAGCAGTTCGAAAGCAAGAAATTGCAAGTAGATAAATAGGTACCACTTCAGTGGGAAGGTAACAGCGTTCCGTGCACCTTGGTGTTTAGTCATGCCGGCCACATGACCTCGGAATGTCTTTGGACAGCGCTGGCTCTTCGGCTTTGAAGTGGAGATGAGCACTGCAACCCTAGAGTCGGATTCGACTGGCTTTCGAGCAAGGGAACCTTTACCTTTTAACTTTCAGCTTGCAAGTTGAGCACACAAGTCCTGAAATATCTGTAAGAAACCAGACCCGCGACGGGATTTACTTTAATACCCAGCACACAGTTTGTTTAATTGGTCCTCTTGCTGAAGCCAAGGTTGCATAATTGTTCCCTCATTTTAATGGTCGTGTTGTTCTGAAGCAAAGTAAATTCTAGCAGAGGGACCAAATTCAGTTATCTTTAGGAGAATTTTTTCCATTCTTTGGGATGACGGAAAGGTTCATTTGTTTGAGGAAGGAGCATTTGAGTAATTAAATAACTAAACAACTATTTTCATTAAGGTCATCATAACAAAACAAATTGACATAAATTAATATTCAAAGCTCTTTGTTCTTCTGGTGCCTGATTCTCTTTCATGCAGAGGTCAGAGGGAGGGATAAAGGGGAAGAAGGTATGATGTGACTTCCATGGAGGCATTTCTCTCTTTCCCCCCTGACTGTGCTATGCGCCAGGGCTGCTGGGGCTGTTGGGCAGACAACCTCTTTCCCAATCCACATACCCCCATGCTTCAACTGCTTTTTCTGGGGTGCTGTGCCAGGGCGTACTCTGGCACATATCTCATTGTGCCTGACTAATGTCTGGTGAGACAGAGAGGCAGAATTCTCTTCCCTTGGTCCCCTGCTGGGTCAGCAGCAGCGTGTCCAATGCCAGTCTTGAAATGCAGCACATTAAGTGAGGGTAAAATGTGGAGGGGGGGGGAGATAACAAAGGAGAACAGGATGAATCATGAAAATGCATGAAGACTTTTGTAACAAGGATAACTCTGCTCACTGCTAAAAATATTAAGGATGTGCTAACTTTCTCTCACCTTTGTCTTTCCCTCCCTCTTGTAGTGGAAAATAAAACTGTGGGACCAAAAGGAAGAACTTTCATTCGTCAGAAGATCAATGCAAGCAATAGCTCAGAAGATGCATATGGTGTGGATAGCTTTACAGCACAGATCCTTACTGGGAAATTGACTACAGTTTTTCTGCCTATGGTCTATATTGTGGTGTTCATTGTTGGTTTACCAAGCAATGCCATGGCTCTGTGGGTCTTCTTGGTAAGAACCAAAAAGAAGCATCCGGCAGTGATCTTTATGGCTGATCTGGCCCTGGCAGATCTTCTTTTTGTGGTCTGGTTCCCCCTGAAGATTGCATACCACGTTAATGGCAATAACTGGATCTTCGGTGAAGGCCTCTGCAAAGTACTGGTTGGGTTCTTCTATGGAAACATGTACTGCTCCATTCTTTTTATGACCTGCCTCAGTGTACAAAGGTACTGGGTAATTGTGAACCCCATTCTTCACTCAAGAAAGAAATCAAACATTGCTGTGGGGCTTTCAGTGGCAATATGGTTTCTAATTTTTCTGGGCACCATTCCATTGTACCTTGTTAACCAAACAGTTTATCTTTCTGACCTGAACATCACAACTTGTCATGATGTCTTGCCTTATAACGTTGTAGCTGGTGAGATGTATAATTACTTCCTTTCCCTTGCGATTGGGGTCTTCTTATTCCCAGCTGTTCTTACATCTGCTGCTTACATTCTCATGATCAAGACTCTGAATGCTTCCATTACAGATGTAAATATTGGAAAGAAACGGAAAAGAGCCATCAAACTCATCATTACAGTACTTTGCATGTATTTGATATGCTTTCTGCCTAGCAACGTCCTGCTTGTGGTACACTACGCCCAGATCAAAAATCGTCACATTGGCCACGTATATGCATTGTACATCACAGCACTGTGCCTGTCTACTCTAAACAGCTGCATTGATCCATTTGTCTATTACTTCGTTTCAAAAGACTTTAGGGACAATCTGAAAAATGCACTTCGCTGTAGAAGTGTGCGCACTACAAAGAGGATGCAAGTCTCCCTCTCTTCAAACAGATACTCACGGAAATCCCCCTCTTATTCATCTAGTTCAAAATCGACTAAGTCAACCTACTAAGTAACATATATATGGGGAAGGCAGGAAAGCCTCAGCATGTTGGCAGAGAGACTTCTGCTTTTGGAAGTGGAGCTCTAGCAAAGATGCATTCATGCTAGACCTTGATCAGAACTGGCAACTCCTGCTTTCACCCCTTTCCTATGGGAAAGAAAGTGGCTTATACTAGCATGCTTGTTCTCAAATGGAAAGATAGGCAGTAGTCCTGACAAAGGAGCTGTGCCTGAAAGAAATCAGAAGGGCTCTGGTTTTGCGGAGCAGTTATGTGTAAAAAGGACCTTGTGTGTGTGCTGATAAGCGAAGGGGACTATTAATAACACCCAAATACATTGTATCAGAAGTCTTGTCACTGATCTGTTTAATAGGTAAACAATCTTTAGCATGGTACTGTTAATAACAGATCAAGTCATATCCTACAACACACATGTAGCAGTATGGAAACCAGTGGTTTGCATGTTTGCCAAACCTATCTGTTGCCACTATAGGAATCTATGAAGGACTTGGAAGACCCATGTTTCCCTGGTTTGCACTGATCCACGCACACAATTTTATTTTAAAGGTATTTAATATGTATTGGTTATTCTGCATGTAGCAAGTAATTATGAGCCACTGCTCACACTGCTGTGGAGCAATTTCACTTCCAGTAGCTTAATTTTTTTTATAAAGAGGTTTTTGATTTATCATCGGTTCTCTTGTGCATCATTTTAAAGAAGCCAGGAAACTGTCTAGCTTGAAGAATGCTAAAGTGTAAGGAAGTCAGTGTGATAGCTGATTCAGTTCGCCATGCCTCTTACTACTTGAGTCTAATGGAGTGCCTTCAATTAATGAGTGTTTAAATCTAAGAAACAGTCAAATAACATTTAGTCAAATAAATGTTCAGTCAAAAAAAAAAGGACGAGGGGGAATGGATTTATGATACAACAAACATCAGTATCTACCCAGTGTTATATATTATATTTTATACTGTTGTTCCTCGAAGGAGCTCAGCGTGGGATACATCCATCTGTTTTATCCTCACAACAACCTTCCCTGTTCCTTTCAGATTTGTCATATTATATTAAATTATTCTGAACTGATTGTTTTTTAAAAAACAAATTTCTTATTGTTTGTACTGTGACATCATACTTGAGCAACCATGACGGGTTTAGCCCATTCCATTTTCCAAGTCAGTCTCACCTCAGCCTGCAGAAGAACTAGATGAAAACAAGATCAAAAAGTGCGGAGGAGGTAGAATGTATTGTACCATTTCAGATTTAGAGGGGGGAGATTGCATTTTTCAGAGGTTCCCTACATTAGTACTTCCCTGTTATGTGGGAAATTAGCATACCCTGGGAAGGGCCAGAATAGAAACTTTCTCCCTGATGTGCTCAGTTTTTAATAAAGTTATTTTAAAAAATAGATTTAAAGTTTTGCTCATGGCCTTTTAGCATACTCAGCCAGAGTACATTGATAGGATTACATGACTTCACCCGAACTTTTTGTAGAGCCCTAGCGATTGTCAAGCTGTGCACTGGTGTCCTCCGGTATGTCTTGAGAACATACCCATGGACTATGACAAAGAAATGCATGAATGGCTTTAGTATGCCAAAGCACCCATCCACAGCAAAGGCCAGCCACTGAATCTTTGCATGAGTCATTGCTTTAGCTTTGCCTCTTTCTAATTAGTGTCAGATTGCTTTAGTAATAGTTCTGCATCGGGGTGACTGGATCATACTCCAGAGGGAAAGACACAAAAGAACTGCCCACCTTCAGAGGGATTTCCTGCTGCATGAGTCCCTGTTCTGGATTTCTTTTCCTTCCAGTCTGGAGACAGGCAGAGGACAGTGACTCATGAACGAACATGCTTTAGGTTTCTGTGATCATTCTTACTCTTACGCTGCACAAATACAGTGACTACTCACAATAGCCGTAGTCGTAGTAACACAGATTTCCCCTAGTTTGCTAAGCTGAGTAAATATTTGTAATGGCCAAGGAATCCCTGTTCTTTATTTAAGCCTTGGCAAATGCAATCGGCTGAACTGGAACATGAAACGAACTGGAACTCATTAAAAGGAAAAACACGACATCTGCCTGTGAAGTTCTTTTGTTGAAGAAAAGTCTGCCTCAGAGTATCCTGGGATACTCTCCCCTTGGTTTCTTAATATTTTCATTTGTATGTCAGAGGTGGATCTGTGTTTGTGGTCAGCCTGAGGGCACATGGCCAGAGGTCGATTCGGGGGGGATCGCGGGGGATCGCGGTCCCCCCGGGTGAGGTGCGGGGGCGGGGCACACGATGAAGCCCCGCCCCCTACTTCCGTCTGCTCCGCTTCCGGCCCCCATTCAGCCAGGAGGAGGCAGGAGAAGAGGGAGGGTAAGTTGCTTCCTCCCCGCCTCTCCCCACCCCTGCCTGCCTGGGGCCAGGGAGGGCCTTGGCAGGGCTTCCTCGCACTCCCGCCGGCTTTGCAGGTCCACCGCCGGGCCTTATGATGTCAGGGGTGTGGCATATGCTAATGAGTTATGCTAATGAGTTCCCCTAGCTCTTTTTCTAAGAAATGACCCCTGCACATGGCTGTCATGCACCTGCCCAGGATTGGCCCAGCACTTTGCTAGGGAGTCAGCTGGCAGAATGACCGGAATTTCTGGTTTTTTAATAGTTCCATTCAAGACCCTTTGAGTTTTATTCCCAGGACTCAAGAAGATAACTGGAAGCACATCAGTGAGTGCCATGTTGCTCATGGGCTCCATGATCATCTCTGTCTTAATATGAGCGCAATGTAATTTATTTGTCCCATATTGTTTTTACCTGGTTTGATGGGTTTGTCTTTACCATGGCAATCAGGTGTTTTCATGTTGTGATTTTTCCTGCCTGTTTTGTAGTTCTCATTGACACAAGCAGGAAAAGTCACCATTTGGCAATGTGCTCATTGAGAGCCAGTTTGGTGTAGTGGTTAGGAGTGCGGACTCTAATCTGGGAGAACCGGGTTTGATTCCCCACTCCTCCACATGCAGCTACTGGTGTGACCTTTGGTCAGTTACAAGTTCTTTCAGAGCTGTTCTCTCACGAGAACTCCACAGGTTGTCTGTTGTTGGGAGGGAAGGGAAAGGAGATTGTAAACTGCTCTGAGACTCCTTCAGGTAGTGAAGGGCAGGGTATAAACCCAATCTCTTCCTCCTCCTTCTCCTCCTCCTCCTGACTGTAATGGGTAAAAACTTGTGGTCTTGATAAAATAACATCTAGATCAGCTCTGCATTTCCACCTTCTTCTGTTCTTATTTTGCCTTAACCTTTCTGCTTAATGCAGGCTCATATTCTGTCAGTCTGGTTTCTTATCCACCTTTTCAACTGTGTTTTCTGTGCCTGCAAGGGTAAAAGAAGAGCAAGACAAGAAATAAAAAGCTCACCATATATTGTATCCCTCATTATCCTTTTAACAACCCTGTGAGGTAGTTCAGGTAAACAGATAGTTACTGATCCTGCGTCACCCAATAAATTTTGTGGATGAACATTTATTTATATGTAAGACAATCCACCCTTTGAGTTACTTCTGTTTCCTGCTTCATACCTGGTTCTTCAGCAGCACCTCTGCCAGCGTCACCTTGACTATATTTATCTGTTTTGACAACCAGCTTCCCTGACCTATCCTTGTTATTCATTCTGCAACTTCTCCATTACTCTCGAATGCATTGTAAGCTACCAGATGAGGACTAAAGTGCTTCAGGGTTCTGTACAGTGGGACTACATATTTAAAAGTGGCTCCTTTTGCTGATTGCAGTTGTTGTGTGAGAAGTTCTGCAGGGGTCATTTGTGAAGAGCAATCCCCCCCCCCCTGAAAACGATCCATTGATTTTGGTCCCGTAAATGCATCCATGTATTTTGCAGCCAAATTAGGAGGAGATGGTGGGATACTGGAGATCAAAGCTGGTCCTTGGAACAAAAATTATCCTGAGGGCCTTTGAAACTCTTCTGACAGTAATGATGTGGATGCATCTCCTGCCTTCAGATTGCCCCTAATACTCTTGCTCCCATGCCAGACCACTTGCCAAAGCTTTTGAGGAGCTTCAACAAATGAGCCCCTGCATTTTTGCTGCTCTTTGGGTGTTCATGTGGTCTTAGCGTAATAACATTAGATTTTGCACCATCCCAAGGGACAGTTAACAGAACTACTAAAAAGATGGATCCTTGCCTATCTGAAGCAGCAAGGACTGAAAACATGTGCCGAGTGTCTCCACATATGGAGTATGCAGCTTCTGATATTGGGTCCAAGAGCTGGTGCATGATACAACACTTTTGCAGGGACTTCCAGGGAGCCCAGTATTCCATAATGGAAGAAAGGGAGAAAATTGATAACTGCAAAAAGATCTTTGAAGTGTCTGTCGGAGCAATGGCTATAAAGTTCTTTGCAGATGTGAAAGCCTTTTTTCTCCCTACCCTTGGTCCAAACTTTGGGGTTTCCACCCCCCAGAGGCACATGGGGACCCAATTTGCATCAGGAGTGTGGCACAAAAGAAAGGGGTTTAAACATCCCCCACTCAGTGCCGTTTTCCTGACATGAAACAGCCCTGAGGAACTGCTATTTGCTCTGTTGGGTCACATGCAGTCATCCTGAGTGACTGTGTTCCCTGACATAGTTAAATGTTAACTAAATCCAATGGTTACTATGAAGATGTCTTAAAATTAGATTAAGGATAGTCGTCAAGTGTGACATTGCACATTTACTTTGTGTCAGAGTCTGAGTGGGTGTGTTGTGTTGTAGGCATGGGGCTCCCCACCCACACAAGTGTGTTTTTGAACTAAGGGCTACTTGCAACTGTTTCTGCTATCAAGTTTATTATGCGTCTGAATATGTGGCAAGGGAGTACTGTGTACATAAACAACCTGTGCATGTATTTTAAGGTGTATGACTGTGATGGCTCAGGCACTCTTGTTCTAGAATATTTATGTATTCTGGGTTGGGCAAATTAGCATGTCATAAAGGCATATCCGTGGTGCTATGTAATATAAAACAAAGCACTCAGATTTGCAAGCTTAAAGGAAGCAATGGGTGGTTTCTGAATTATATGCAGTCAGCAGATGG